CCTGCGCCTCCACAGGGCCCTGCGCTGGCTGCAGCTCTTCCTGGAGGGGCTGAGAACCGGCCGGGAGGACTCCCGGACCTCCGTCATCTGCACGGACTCCTACAACGCTTCTCTGGCTACCTACCACCCCTGGGTCGTTCGCAAGGCTGCCACGGTGGCCTTCTGCACGCTGCCGCCCCGAAACACCTTCCTCGAAATCATGAACGTGGGCACGCCCGAGGAAGCTGTCGCCATGCTGGGTGAGGCCCTGCCCTACATCTGCGACGTCTACGGCATCACCCAGGAGCTCTTTGCCCAGCATAAGCTGCTTGACCTTCCTTGACGGGAGGGATGTCAAGAGCCACGCCACGTTCCGACGGAAGTCGGATGAACCAGGTGAAAACCGTGTGTTTTCACAGGCGCACAAGCATCTGGTTCCCTGTGGTCGCTCTCCCTTTCCTTTTCCAGTACGGAGCTGAAAAGCTGGCAAAGCTTTTCAGGAGGCATCACTTTGTAAGAGAAAAAATTGCACCAATTTTTTTTTATATGTGTGTATATCTGTATGTGTGTGTGCAGAGCCTCAGCTCTACAGTAAGAAAAAAAACACTATTGGCCTGCTTAAGGGATTTCTTTTCTCCTCTTGGATCCACCTTCAACTCTCCAGCTAGGCTGGGAGTGGGGCGTTTTGATTTCTTTTTTAAGCCAAACTCTGCAATTCAGGAGCTTCTGTGCATTTACACCAATAGTTAGGCCCTCATGTGACAGCACGACTTTCAGATGTGGTGTCTGAACACATTTACACTGCATGTGAACTCACTTCGCCACTTTTGTTTACAGGCTGTTCCCTTCAATAGATCGGGGGGGGGGAGTTTCCCGCTTTTATGCTTTAACCTTGAAAATATAATCCTGAGTAATGCATGTCTCAAAGGCAGCTCTCTTCCTTGTGGTCACAGACTCATTTGATTACTGCTACTAATTCTGTGTCCCCTAGAATTAAAGAAGGAAACGGTGGTGCATGTCGTTACTGTAAGAGACCGTTCTCCCTCTGTGCATGGATCCGTTAAGCAGGACTGTCCTCCTGTGTAGCTTCCCCTGCCCGTTAATCTATGCCTTATGCGTCTTGGGACGTGGAACAGTTTTTAGTACGTGCTGCACGATACTATCTATCCAGCTAAGGCTGCAGACTGTACCTTACCTGTTTTCCAGCCGTGCTTCTAAATTGTGTTCTCATTATTATTTTTTTTAATGAATGTGTCAAATGACTTCTCTGACTGTCTGGAGAGAAATCCAAACTTGTACTGTAAGTCATTACTTTGTGAGGCTTACGGCTTCTATTGCAAATCACTGTATGTAATAGCTGGTGTGTGCGTATATATACACATACACACACACACACACACACTAAAGTATGTAAAATGGAGTTTACTTAGCTTTTTGAAAGCTGAAAAAGCACTACCATTGTTAATTCAGGATGAATATGGGGGGAGGAGGGAGAATCCCACAGGCTGTAAGATGTTTTGATTGTATCTCAGCTAGGAGGCATTTTGGCTTAACATAACACTGTATGATTCAGGAAATCACTATTACCTCATGGGATTAGTCTAACTGGACATTAAATTATGTGAATAACATGCTTCTGAAGAGTATCCTTTATAGGAATGCTTTCCGGTTTTGTGGTGTTGGAAGGAACATGACTTTATAGTGTTACCTATTGATATCTTGTCCTTCACTAGCAGAGTCTGTTTCATTTACCTAGTGATCAGATGTGAAACCAACTGTCAGGAGTAACCAAATGAAGGTAGATGCTGTGTACTGAGCTCCTATTGGGATTACTCACATCTATCAGCAATATCTTTTGCCTAAAGATAGGAAATGGAATTTCCTTGAACATCCTAAATGGAGGTTCAGTTGCTATGCTGTGAAAACACAAATATCATTCCCTTTCTGCTAAGACCACCGTAAAATGATATGGAACGATGTGTTCCACAGGATAAATCCGTACATTAAAATGGAGCAGTTCCACGTTACAAACTACAGAATATGTCTTGCTGGACCTCCCTTGCTGTCTGACACAGGTATAGCTGGTATTTCATCTGTGTAGTGTATTAAATGCCTTAAACTGTGTCAAGTAATGTTGTGTGTTAAGTGAAAAAATGTTTTACATCTTTTGGGAGTTTAATGCAGAAATTATCAGTATGACCACGTGGGAAAATTACTTTTTCTCCCTCGTCAACATTCATTCTCAACTATTCCTCTTATGAGATAAACATTAATGTTGAAAATGAACTTGATTTTTGCCATTAAAGAATCAAACTTTATCAGTGGGGAAAAAGACTCTGTCTTAAGTTTATAACCAATCATTTTGTGCAAAGTATGCTTCAAGTAAAATACAGCTTTCCATCAGTCTGCATGCTCTCATTTAAACAAGGTATTGCCTAATGATATTTTTATTTTCCTGGTGTCCTGCTCTGTCTCCAAACAATGGGAACCTTTTTAACAGCCCCAGTTAGTTACCACTGAGTAAAACTAAAGTCCTGTACTTGGCTTTGGGCAAGTTCAGAGTCTGGCAGCTTTCACTAACGGGGCCAAATTCAGAAGGGGAAAACCTTCACCCGCAGTGACTGGTGTACTTGAAAGCTGCAACGACATACAGATTCACTAGAGGGAGTCTGAATATTTTGCACAGAAGTCCATCACACAAACTGTCTCCTATGCCACAGCAAGCATACTTCATTTCACGTGAAAGCGTGGATGGGAGTAAATAATTGCCTGTGTTTGACTTCTACACCATTCAAATGGCTTTTTTTTTTTCTCCTCTCTGCACTGTTGAATTTGTATTTAGAACTTTTTAAAAGAAGTTATGTAGTTAAAGCTAACGCTTAAATATTCCATTAAGGGGAAGGTATCCTTAAAAGGATGTCAGTATAAACATATTTCTATAACATAGCTATAGAAATCTACAACTGTTGCTTGCCTGACGTACTCATATACTTAGCTTTCTATAGCAAACCTGCTTCTCTTCATACATGGAAAAATATTCTAGCCTTGTGGCAACAGTGGTGTATCACTTTGGCCGTATAAGCAGTTTTTATGATACGGTATAAATATATAATAAGCAAATAAAATGCAGTAAATTGAACTTTCCTATTCAGAGCTATCCTGTTTTCTAAAATTCAAACCTGACAGAAAAAATGCAAACCATGATGCAACCTAAATTACTATGCTGTGGAACTTGTACCTAAACCGAAGTTTTTAAACTGAAGTTAACATCATAGCTCAGTGTGAGAAAAATTTAGGTCAGCCAGTAACAGCTTCCTAAAAACAGCAGTACAGCTGAGTAATAGCTCACCAACCTTGCAATCTAGGAATGGCCTGCTCCAGACAATTCTTGCGATGCACTGAGGGGGATTTGGTTATCTCCATGATGAGGTGACCTTGGATTAAAAAAAAAAAAAAATAAAAAATTACTGCTGTGTATGTCTCTTACCACTACCCTTTGAGTTCAGGCAACTCAACATATTATTCTGAAGTTCATTTAAAAATAAATTATGTGACGTTTCTTCAGTGCAGGCCACTTCTAAGTAGGGAGCACGCAAGCAAACGCTTGGATCAGAGACAGCCAGGCCTTTGCCCTGATGCATGGCTACAATGGCTGCTCGGCCTTTGTCTGCTTCCTGGGCACGTTCATGGTACAGACTTCTGGTAAGAAGTACAATATTGCCAGGGGGATCACATTTGCCATCCTAATCTATTTCATCATCTGGATCTTCTTCATGGCTATTTTTGCCGCGCTGAAGACAGTCCTCAGGTCTGTTACTCAGATCGGTACCATTTTGACAACTAGTCTGGGTATTTGGGGACCTACTATATCCCTAAATGCTACATCATCTTGCTTAAGCCTGATCTGAACACAGTGGATTATTTCCAGAATTCCATCAAAGAGGAGCCAGAGGAGGACTCTCAATAAACCAGATCCATTGTCACCTGCTCCTCAACAGAAGCTGGCTGTATTTTAATGAGATAATTCTGTTTACGATGACTCTGTAAGCTATGGTCCCAGACACAATCACCATATAAAACACAGCTTTATCCAGTAGGCTGAACACTAGGACCAGAATTTTTAAGCTGCAAAAGCACAGGGCTCTACTCAATGAGCTAAAGCCGAATGTCCCCAGCATAGTATCCATCCTCTCTGTAGCTAATGATCTGTTTCATCACCCACAAGCAGCCAAAAGCAGGTTCAGTTAAGCAAGCAACCTACAGTGCTGATAGCTTACATGAATCTCTGAGGTCTCGCAATCTGAGCTAGAAGGCTCACCCGGACGACTTTCCTGTAAAGACTGCTGGTAATTTCCACCTCTTAGTAACTAGATAACCACTCCAGAGATATAGCCATGAATCCTTTCCCAGGCCTTATAAGAACTTTCAAATATATTCAACAGCACAGAAATAATAACTAGAAAAACAGAAGGGAATAATCTGAAAAGGTGTGAGATTATAGACTACAAACAGAAATCCTTGTGATTAACTAATGATACTGAGTACCTATCTACACAGGATCCTCTATAAAGACCTTCTCCCAGCGAGCAACATCAGAAAACACAGCTCCTACGCAGGTCTCTCCTCCTGTTAGATACAGGAAGGAGCTGAGGAGGGGGAGCTAATAGACAGGGAGAACCAAAGGTCCCGCACACTGCTCTGTAATTGCGGTCTGTACACATCTATGTGTGTGTGTGCACTTGCTTTATTAAAAGCGGAGTCAATGGCATCCTACAGCTCTGGGTCTTTTTTTTGATCGTTACAGTCAACGCAAACTTTCATCATCTAGGTTGTGAAACTGTATGGTTCTAATGGCCACCAGGATCCTTCTTAAGACAACCCTTCCCCATTGTCCCTGTAAATAAGATTCTGTGACGGAACATACTGATCCTCCGGGCTGCCCTCTCTTCTATTTAAACAGAGGGGCTCCGACTTCTCAGTAAGGCACTGAGTAAGTTTTGCTCATTTTTGATTGAAGGTTAGAGGATACCTGGAAAGGTATGCATGAAGTTAAGAACATAGGTGAAGAGTACGCAAAGAAATTGATAGGTCATACACAAACTGAAGTACAAGGAAACAACGGTGTTCCGATCAAGAAGGGCTGACTATTTTGACTCTTATATGAAATAAAAGATTGAAAGGCTAAGCAAAGCTTCTGATGACAACCATTGCTCTTCTAGTTCATTGTGTCATCAGTACTCTGCTGCAGCATATTAACTGAGAACTGGTCCTCACATATCATTGAGTGTTGAAACAAAACACAAGCAAGAACTTGTATTTCTCAAGAGATTTCACAGTTTCATTCCAAGGCAGAATAATTGTTGTTATTCAAGCCAGGATCTCAGTAAAACAGAGATTTTTTTCAGATAAATTATATCGTAAAAGTATAGATATAATAATGGAAATATTTATCATAATTTCACACTTCTTTTACAATATGAAATTCAGTTCTGATATCATTGTTGTGAAACAAAAAGCTG